AAGCAAATTGATGGTAGCTTAGGTCAAGTACGTTCTCATGGGATAGGTACAAATAAAATTCATTAGGACAATCATAGAGACAAAACTATACTTGGACGACAGGAAGTATTTGGAAAAGAAACAAACGTGAAGGCAACGCCAATAAATTAAGCATGATATTGAGTCTAACAGTTCTCATATTTTATTACATGCATTGGACAAAGTTGAACAAACCAAAGCTAAACAAATCATCGATGTTAGGCACAGAAAGCCATAGTCATGTAGTCGAGGGATATTGCGATTAAGAAATACAGCAAAATAAGCTCAATGTTTAGCCTCCGGGGACGGAGGCCATGCAATTATTATGATTTATAATAAGAGAATGTCTAGCGGGATACGGTAACTCTACAGAGTGGACCTCACGTGTACAAACTTTGTACAAAATGCAATCGCAACTTGTATTGGGAGGAGCAAGGACGAGAACATCTGGGTAATTCAGCCAACCAACCGGAATGAGCCAAACCCCTTGGCCTATCTTGTCTTCACAATCTCCGAAAAATACATCAAGCTTCCATTTTTCAGCTTCCAAATCAATGTTAAATACCTTGAGCCACTCCCCAGTTTCTGGTTTCATCTACCAAACTTGCCACGAGAAATTCCCAAGGGCGACCAATAAAGATAGATACCTTCCTGTTGACAGATAAAAGCGTCTCTTATTTCTGTGAACTCGAGGAAGGGGGACCTCTGAGTTGGAAATAATTTCAGTCTCCACATCGAGAGAGAAAACAGAGGTGCACCAATCCCAGACCCAATGCACAAAACCATCAGTGATCAATGGCTTAAAGGCGCATGAAAGTTGGTTCTTATTAAGAGACAAGTGTTTGGTGTGGACATGCCTCCAGGTGGTATCGACACCAACAGTTAATATAAGACATTCAAGATTCCTTACACCATTGCTTCCATCCACGAAATCGCGTACAACCACTTTATACTTCATGGAGGCCGACGCATACGCCATAGCAAGAAGAAGAGATGCATAACGTATCTTGGAAAATGGAGGCAGGGTGAAGCATTGCTTGGTTGCGGGATTCAGGATGCGCACAGAATAAGGATCTCCATTTAAGAATCCCAAAAGCAGGCCATTACAGCTGGCCCAGATTAAATGACCAAGTTCGTTGCGGCACATGGATTTCTCGACCCGGCCCTGCCGCATCGAGATAAAAGTCAATTCCTTGCGTAAAAACGTATAGTGTAAGATGAGCCCGGAAGTTGCACGGAAGATTTGCGTTTGTATCAAGTCAGGGCTATGGGTCAAATGGTACCACTTGCGGCAAACGAGCCCTACCGGGACCCGGATATCTTGAGGTGGGAGACGAGCAATGATGTCCAATAATAAATCTTTGGGAAGGGACTCTATACTTGCTAACCTAAACCTCTTCCTGAAATAATAGCGTGGAGTGTGACTGTGGCCGGCCACCTGCACATCAATTAAAAGGTTTCTTGTGATGAACTGTGTCTAAGAACTTGCAACATTTAACCATATGTTCTCTAGTCTGAAACAAAGTGATTCAAGAAACACCTTTTCGTTTCATTCTTAAGTCAGCTCACACAGTACAGACACACACACACACACACACACACATATGTAACGTAAGTCAGCTCAGAACAGTACACACACTCAATTAAGGTTCAATTACAAAAAAAATATCAGTTTTGTAGAAATTTCTTACAACTCCAGCGGGTGATAGGGTGTCGGCGGCGGACTTGGGCTCGCTCTAGAATTTCTCGGACGGTGGATCTGAACCCCAAAAAGACGCCATTAACAAAAAAGAAAAGACAAGTGATAAATAGATCTAACTAATATGCATTTGATTTGAATGTGGTAAAACAAAATCAACAAATACTCTCTTGTCATTATCGGACCACCAACCTGCAACCTTGCTCATGCTTCTTTTCCAAATATACATAAGAGGCTTTTTTTTTTTCAAATGAGATTTGGGTCATTTGTTTATTTTTGCATACTATTTGCTAATATTATGGTTGATTTGTGAAATAAGATTCAAAGATAATCTTATTATTCTATTTTATCAAGTAACTAGTACAACATCTGTGTATTACACGGGTGCTTGTTAAAAAATTATTCTTAAATTTTAAATTAATAAAAAAAGAGGAAATTACAAATTTGGTCCCGTTAGATTGAGACGGTTTTACTTTTAGTTGCAAGAAACACATTTTCAGTCCTTAACTAATGTTTATTTCGCATTTGGTCCCAAATTCAGTCCTTAATTAATTTTTGTTCCGCATTTGGTCTCAAAATTTAACGGACCGTGAAGTCACCGTTAACCCTCAGGACTAAAATTGTGACCGTGGGACTAAAATTGGACCTTCCCAATTTATCGGTACCAAATTTGTAGTAGTTGATATTTCATTTTGTTTTTATTTTTTAAATTTTATTAAACTCTATAGTTATATTTTATTTTTTTATCAACCATTATAATTATAATAAAATTAAATGATGATTTTTTAAATATATGCAATACTTAATTAAAATATTTGAAATATAGAAAGCATTGTATTGCATTAAAATTTTTTAATACATTAATGATAATATAAATTTAAATTTATTTGAATTTATATATATATCTAATATATTTAAGTTTATATTTTTGTTATATTAAAAATTATATAAATATTTATTAACGTATTTAAATATATATATACACACACATACACACACACACACACAATAGATCAGTCCAATCAACCAATTCTGACTGGTTCATTAGAAACCAGTTTGTTCAAAGGAATCCAACTTTTTGACCGATTCTAGATTCAACAGTCAGTTTAACCCAATTTTAAAAATAATTGTAGTTGATATTATTTTTATTTTTATTATTATTTTACGTTTTAAATTTTTATTAACCTCTACAATTGTATTTTTTTTATCAACCATTATATCTATAATTAAATTAAAATTTATTTGTAAATATATTTATTATTTAATTAAAAATATTTTAAATACCAAAAAATAATAATATAAATTTAAATATATTTGAATTTATATATATCAAATATATTTAAATTTATATTTTTGTTATATTAAAAAATATAAATATTTATTAACTTATCAAAAAATATATATTATTGACCAGTCCATTCAACTAATTCTAATGGGTTCATGTTTGACTGAGTTTTCAAACCAATAATATTTTATATTACTTTTATTTTTATTTTTATTTAAAAATTTTGTTAACCCCTACAGTTCTATATTTCTAATAAAATCAAATAATAATTTTTAAATATATTTATTATTTAGTAAAAGTTAATTTTAAATATAGAAAACATTGTATAGTTATTATTTTTATTTTTTTTGTCTCGAAACTAAATTTTTACTATCACTGATTGTTTTATACTCACGGGATAAAAAATTGCAATAAAAAAAGTAATAAAACTGAGGAAATTGCAAATTTGGTCCCGTTAGATTGGGACGGTCCAATTTTAGTCTCACGGTCGCAATTTTAGTCCTGAGGGTTAACGGTGACTTCACGGTCCCGTTGAATTTGGGACCAAATGCGGAACAAACATTGGTTAAGGACTAAAAATGTGCCTCTTGGGACCAAAAATGAAACTGTCTCAATCTAACGGGACCAAATTTGCAATTTCCTTATGAGAAAAATTATTTTAAATTTTATTTACTTTTGTGCAAAAAATACATATTATTGTATATTTTAGAATGACATTTGTTACTTGTGCGACTTACATGTGTTATATTATAGTCATTTTTATAACTTATATCATATAACTAATTGAAATATAAATATATTGATTAAATAAATAATTTTATTTTTCTAACTAATATTTAAAAATAATTTCATTATTGTTATAAAAATAAATATAATTTATTTTCTTTATACATACAATATGTATGTTAAAATTGAAGCTCATATGATTTATTGTTATATTATACATGTAAATTGATAAAAAAATACAGAAGTTATTAACTTTTAAAATACATTTACACTTCAATGGTTATAATAACGAAATAATATTAAAATAAAATTAATACATGTAACATGACCATAAATAATAATATATTTATGAATAATACGGACCTAATTATTTTTGAATTAAAAGTAAATCAAAATCTACCAAAGTCTTAATAACTAAGAATGTAATTTCGCCACGTAGGATCCCAAAGCATGCGAGTCTGTTACTTAAGCTCAGCATGTTCTGAATTAATATATGCTAGTACAATACCTGTGTATTACACGGGTGCTTGTTAATTTTTTTCTTAAAATTTAAAACTAATGAGAAAAATTAGTTGAAAATTTAAATACTTTTTACAAATAAAATGTGTCATACTAAATAATTTTATTTTTCTAATGAATTTTAATAAATATTATTATCTTTTATTATTATAAAGATAAATATAATTTATTTATTTCATATATACAATATGGATGTCAAATCGAAGATCATCAAAAGATGATTAATTTGATATATAATATATGTAAAACCGATAAGAAACACAAAAGTTATCAACTTTTAAAATACATTTACAATTCAATAGCTAATTGAAGGAAACAAATCAAAGTCAGTGATATATTAGTCACTTATTGCCTCCCTATGTAAAATTACAAATAATTAAAGGGTTATATTAGTACAAGTGATATTAAAATACCTAAGTTAGATAAATAATATTTATGGAATGTCCAAACCTAGATTATTAATTATTAATATATAAATATTATTTGTCCAAACCTAATTACGAAGCATGATTTTTCGCCAAGTAGGATTCCGAAGCACCAGAAACAGCCACGTAGGCTCAGCGCATTCGGGAATTATATATAGGGAGGATTGTAGACTTTTCCAACTATCCACCCATTCAAAACTAAAGTTAATTTTAAAAAAGTTGGTATAGTTATTGTTTGTAGTAGCTTTATTTTATATTAAAATAATATTTAAAATAAAATAATGAAAGTTGATTTAATGTAAAAATAGCAGAGAGATGATGTGAAGTGATTGTTAGTTGATGTGATGTGCAAGAAGGGTTGTTTGACATTATTTAATTATATTGATAATAGCGAAGTTGAGTCAAAATTTATTTAAGTTTTGAATATAGATTGGAAAAGTTTATAAATAAACACCTAAGTATCCATTGTTTAACTCGTCATTTCACAAAATTATATAGGTAAAAAGTGAACACTACTCATTTATACACCACAAAAATTGATTAAATTTAAATAATAAACTTTACGATAGCAAACTTTACAATTACAATACACCCGAAAAGTGATTAATGAAGAACTCCTTTTAATAATAAACTTGATATGGTAATAAACTTTAGAAGACAAAGATACCATATAACAAAATTAGAAATATTATGGGGGTGTTTAGTTATTGGCTTTTTGTGAAAAAAATAGCTTTTTAACATTTTAGCTTATTTGACTTTTTTCAAAAAGCTAAATTTTTGTTTGGTAAGTAGCTTTTGCAATTGGCTTTTTGGTGCTCAAAAGCTAAAAATTGAAAAGCTACATTTTGTAGCGTTTGAGTTGGCTTTGAAGGGAACAAAATAAATGTTCACATTTGCCCTTAAATGCCTCCATTTTCCTTTTTTTTTTTTAGAATTTCATTCCCATGAAAATTAAAGAAAGCCACTCCTAAAATAAAAAAAAAATAAAAAATAATAGATGAATTCCATCTTTATCTCTATATCATGTGAGAAATAAAAATGATACTAATTTAGTATGCCGAAAAAAATTTCTCGAACAAGATAGAAGTAGAACGGACGCCAACAACTTTGGTCGAACAAGAGATGTAAAAGTTTGTAATTATTATTAAAATAAAACTAAAATTAATTTAGTATTTGAAAAGAAAAAAATCAAATATTTGGTATAATAACGAGTTGGATGAATTGCCGAAAAAAAAAATCGTGCTATTTTGAAAGTACAACGGATGCCAACAAACATCGTCGAATAAGATAGAATAAAAGTATGTTATTTTTATTACAATATACTGAAATTTATTTAGTACCTGAAAAGAATAATTCATTTGTATAAGAACGAGTTAGATGCTTGTCGGAAAAAGAAGAAAAAAACAAGTAAACCCAAACTATTTTGAAAGTAGAACGGAAGCTCGGACAAGATAAAATTAAATTATATTACTTTTGTTAAAATAAAACTAAAATTTATTTAGTATCCGAAAGAAAAAATTGTATGAAATAAGAACGGATTAGATATGTTGTCGAAAAAAGTGAAATTGAGTTATTTTGAAAGTAGAACGGACATCAACAAATATTAATCGAACAAAATAGAAGTAAAAGTATAATAGTTATGTTAAAATAAAACTGAAATTAATTTAGTATCCAAATTTTTGTTAATTTAATTGTATTGTATAAGAACGAGATAGATGTGTTGTCGAAAAAAACAAATGAAACATAGTTTCTTAAAAAGTAGATATTTGTGTTTTACTTATAAATATCAACATAAAAATAATTTTCAAGTATGTTGATGTCCTTATAAGTAATTTTACATGTTAGCAGCTAATCAAAAATAGCTAATTTTACCAAACACTTTTTTACAAACCGTCAACACAATCAACTGGTCAAAACAGTTAACGTAATCCGCTGGTCAAAACAGCTAATGCAATCCGCTAACAGCTAACAGCTAACCGCTGATTACTAAACAAGACCTATATTTATGCATTTCTTAATAAAGATGGGAAGCCTACGTCCCATTAAAATGTCATTCTAATTTTAGTCAAACTAAACATCTAAAAATAGATTAATATAGTTTTTTTCTCTGAAATGTCAAATATTATAAAAAAAATAAAAATTAGAAAACCAAAAAACTCAAAAAAGTACAATAGGCATTTCAACTGGAAACAATATACCTTGTCTACAATAATACAAACAAGTGTACAAAGGCAAGAGAGCTCCAACAAGACC